TGGATTTATATAGTTTCTTTTTGTGTTTCTTTTTTTTTTTTTTTTTTTACTTATTACTTTATAAAAAGAAAAAAAAGTGTACTTTGATACAATTTAACACATTTTGAGTATAATTTATATTTAAAACACATTAGGTAATTATACATGTCTATATTTTGTAAAGACACTTGGATGCATGGATGCATTGAGCATTATTGTTTTTTTTTAATTATTGTTTGTAACTTGAAATATGCTATATGATTGTACTCAAATGAATGTTCACAATCAACATAAAATGGAAAAAAAAAAAATAATAATAATAATTTATAATAATAAATCGCACTGACCCCTAACATTGTATATTAGCCTTTTTAATTTCAATTTAAATTGAAGTATAAAGTTAAAACTCAAAAACATTTTTTAAACCATATTATGTTTCATCTAATCTAATGTAAGTCATATTATGTCCTTTAATCTTATGTTCATCATAATGTTCATCTGATGTTTCCTTTTGTTTGGTGTCTTAAACTTCTAACAATACTTACCATCACATGACAACTCATAAGACCACAAAAAAAAAAAAAACTACATATAGACCTTCACATGAAAAACAACTAACTCATAATTTTGAGTCTGAGAAAATCATCTTGACATCACAAGATTGATTAAAAAAAATCATATTATTATAATGATAACAATCATTATTATTTATTCATGCTTCAGTGCATGCTGGGAATCCCAGCACTCTGAGAAACCTGTATCTGTGCAGTTAGTTAGATCTTACATTAAAGTTATCAAAATGTATTAAAAACCTATTATAATGGAAAAGCTGCTTTGAAATACATCACTCGTGCTCCTATTTTAGTTATTGGAACTTTCTACTAGTAAGTAAAAAAAATATATATATATATATACTGCATATATATATATAAAACACACACACACACACACACACACACACACACACATACACAAAATATTGTGAGAAATGTCTGTTTTTTTGTCCATAAAATGGAAGTCAATGGGGACCAAAACTGTTTGTTTGCACAACTAGTTACTAACATGCTTCAAAATATCTTCTTTTGTCTTCCACAGAAGAATGAAAGTCATACAGATTTGGACTGACATGAAGGTAAGTAAATGATGGCATAACTATCCCTTTATGAATCTAAGAACCATTTTCAAAGAGGATTTTGCTGCTTCAGATATCCGTCTCTGGCCATATCAGTGGCTTCCTTAGAATTGCACATTTGTGATGTTGACACTTTCTAGACAGTCTGAGATGATGGTGAGACAGTGGCTACGTTTACATGCACAATTTTTGGTTCAATAGGACTGAATTCATTCCGATTGATGAATCTGAATGTACAAGGACTGGTGGGAGGTTGTCCTGCTCCACTTCACAGTTGCCGAGTGAAAGGAGAGTTTTATAATGACAGGACACACATTTATACAACACTTTATTCAAAAGGAAGAGCCGCTCATTCCGTGCATCATATGTCATTACGCTATTTCTGCGTCATTGCACACGCGCAGTTCCTTGCGTTTCGGGGTTCAATCCGATCTAGTGCTTACATGCACTCTCAATCGTATTAGAAAAGGAATAAACCACCCCCTCCAGAAAGAGCATGCTTGACTGTAGTTTGTAGCTCGGCTCCGAATCGAAAAGCTGAATATGCGCTGCATCTGCTGCCTACTTATACTCACGCTGTGATCAGCAGCAGCTGGATGCAATAATCGCATGCCAATGTGCATTGGCTCGTTTAGTTTACACTCGAAGTAGATTGGTCTCTCTAAGCGAGATCCCAATTCGTCGGTCATCCGATGTGACGTCGAGAGTGACCGACTGAAAGGGAACTGTTGTTTCCTGTCAGACATGGACTATTTCTGTTAATAAAGGACTCAGAGCTCCATTCAGCTTTCATTGATGCAAAAACAATTGCATAGTTTTCCAAGAACCCAGCAGGACACCAAAGGAGTAATTAACAAGCTGCTAATTACCCACTGAAATGAAACGCAAAGAGGCTATGTATAAGTGTTTATGAGCGGGTGAACTGCTAAACTAATAAAATAAAACCACCTATTGTTGCCAGAGACACTGTTAAACAATGATGAGCTTGTACTCTCGTTTATAACAATTAACCATTAACCTGTGTATTGTGTGTCAAAGACAAGATCACATGCCGGAGAAGTGATCGGACGGCCTATTTTAAGACATTTATCACTACCGACATGACATAATATTCAGTGCATGACTCCCTCTTTGACACTACTTTTTCTTGGTAACCTTGATGAATGGTAACCTTTCATGACTTCAGAGATTTCTTAAAGGAAAAACATACTGGTGCCTCCAGACTTGAGAGACAAAAGAAACCTACAGAATCCTGAAAAATGTATCACCTTTTCCACAAAAATATGAAGCAGCACAACTGTTTTCAACACTGATAATAACCAGAAATGTTTCTTGAGCAGCAAATCAGCATATCAGAATGATTTCTGAAGGATCATGTGGCACTGAAGACTGGAGTAATGATGCTGAAAATGCAGCTTTGATCACAGAAATAAATTCCATTTTAAAATATGTTCAAATAGAAAATTTGAAATTGTAATAATATTTCACAATATTATTGTTATTATATTGTATAGTACTGTATTTTCTATCAAATAAATGCAGCCTTGGTGAGCAGAAGAGACTTACTTCTGAATGGTATTGTACATCTTAATTTTCTCTATTTTGGATAAAATATTAATCTAACAATTCATCATATTAGTAATATTGTGTCGTATTAGTTTTATTTTAATCACAATTTAGTGGACCTAAAAGTATATATTTGTTCTTTTAATTAGTTTTGATTGGATTTTCTGACATGAAAAACTGTCAATTCTTCTTTTTTTCTTTTTCTAGTTTGAATATTATTATTTTTTTTTGCAATATCGTTTCAATCAGTCAATGTATATTTTTCCCCCAAGGTCACTTTCCATCCTATTAGTCTTTTGTAAAATCCTACAACTAACAAAAGACATCCTCCTCCAGGAAGTGACATCACTTTTAGTCAGAAAACATCATGGATTTAATGAATTCTGTCATGTTTGAGGTATTCGCTGGTTTATAAACAACCCAGTTAAAACAAAACATTCCATCTTTTTGACAAAATGACCCCAAAAAATCTGTTCACACATGTAAGCGAACACAATCCCTCACTGAACACTAAATAATTTTAGCTCTTTATCTTTCATCCACTTAATTTTCTCAGTTATAATGAAAGTTTAAGAGAACTTGATCAAAACAGTTTGCTATATCTTATAATAGAAGCACTTGGATTTGGTTATTTTTGTGCTACCGCATAACAAGAACGGCCCGTGTCATTCAGCTAACGTTTAAACTCTGGGAAACCAGAAAAAAATCCATCCAGTAAGAATTACCTCAAACACGAGTCATGTCACTTCACTCGAGCTGCACAAATGAAATGCTAAAAAGGTCTGTTTTCCCCTCTGCTGACAGATAAGTGGAGAGCAGTGGATGGAGACGGACGGTTTCTGACCTGAGCTGCCGGTCCTTGCAGACGGCCACCATAACCAGCAGGTTGCCCAGGACGCTCATGAGCATGACCAGTGACAGGAAGCTGATGAGAGCAACCCTCTTCGCCAACCCGTTGCTGTGGGAACAGAGGGAAGACACAGACTTACTGAAAATCATTTGATCGTATGGAACGATGAAAATACTGATAAGTGTCGATTCAACAGGACTAACAATAACACAGACATTTCAGTTCCGGAAGACTGATGCATAATTGTGAGTGAAGAAATGCTTTTAGTAGTATATTTAATGCATTTAGAGCAGTGGTTCTCAAAGTGTCAGATTTTTTTATAGGTTTAAAGGGGGGCGCGACTAAAAAAGTTTGAGAACCACTGATTTAGAGTAAGTTTGATTCACTAATTATTAAATGTTGACATTTAAGACAGCTTTCGCCACCTCAATTCCCATGGAAACAGTGGCATAAAAGCACTGCCCAGGAATATAAAGCACATTGCCCACACAGAGTGATAGAAAAAGACAATTCCTGCTCATGAAGAAGATAATTTCTTTAGACATAGATCTCACAGACGTTGCTTCTAATCATTGGTGGATCAATAATGATTAGCAATGACACTTGAAACCTTTTTATTATATATATATATATTTCTACCACATGCATTCGTTTCTAGTTTAAATTTACATTCAGTTTAGATTAGATGTTAAACTGCATTGTGAAAATCATTTTCTAGTATACAGTAGACAGAAAAATCATCAAAATGCCTATTGTACCTATAAACTCTAATCCAATTCTCATTCGACGCAATGTTTTCCCTCAAGATTGACACTGACTATGTAATTGTAGGCTGAAGCCTGTTATTGTGACCGCAGGCTGGAGGAAGAGGTAACCCCCTGCCGCTCATTACAGACTAATGAACAGCAGGGAAGTTGAGATAAAACCAATAAAGAGTCGTTCAGCCGCAGAACGTTTGACACTTCTGTCATTCATGAGCTATGAAACTCCACCTGTCGAACACATAACAGAAATCGTCTCCAGGTTACGTATGTAACCATGGTTCCCCGAAGGGAACGAGACGCTGCGTCGAAACGCTACGGGAACGCCTCCAGCGTGACCACGCTCTGAATCATATGTGTAATCAGTCCAATGGATGGGCGAGACGTCACGGGCGGGGTGACGTAGCGACCAGGAAGTATAAAAGCACGTGCGGTGAAACCGGCGTCAGCTTCAGGAGTGAAGCAAGTGCTGGCAGGGATGCTGGAAGTATGGCCCTGAGACGCATCATCTCGTTCCCTTCGGGGAACCATGGTTACATACGTAACCTGGAGACGTTCCCCTTCAGGAACTCGAGCTGCGTCGAAACGCTACGGGAACGAGAATGCCCACGCCGCCAGACTTGCAAATCCCTGCCTAGTGTGGAAGAGCACAACTAAGGCGAGAGAAAAGGGAGCCAGGAATGGCTAAAGTAGGCGGGGGCCGCCCGAAGGCCAACTTCTAGAGGAGTGAGCCTTGACCCCCGAAGGAGAGGGGAGATCAGAATGCTCAAGGCTATGGAATAGCATCCTGATCCACCACTTCACCAAATAAGACTGACACACACAGAGCGCTTGCTGAATGACAGAAAGCTGACGCCGGTTTCACCGCACGTGCTTTTATACTTCCTGGTCGCTACGTCACCCCGCCCGTGACGTCTCGCCCATCCATTGGACTGATTACACATATGATTCAGAGCGTGGTCACGCTGGAGGCGTTCCCGTAGCGTTTCGACGCAGCTCGAGTTCCTGAAGGGGAACTGAACGGTTATGTGGGTAACACTTTATAATAAGTATATAGTAAGAAAGTATTTACAAATAATTTGCAAACTATTAGATTACAGTTAATAGTTATAGTTAATATATTTATAGACTATACACAAATAATTTGTTCTTCATTCATTGGCACAGTAATTAAGTGTTATTGTTTAATTATCTCATATGTAAAGAGTTAGATAATGCTTATTAATGGTAAATAGTTCTCACTTTAGATTAGGTCATGGAAAATCAGAAAATGCTTTAAACCAACTAATATTGGACATTAATTGCACTAGTATTAAGAGTTCATTAAAATGTTTACAAATACATTAGGCCAATCCCAGAAGCTAAACATTAAAATCAATCAATCAATAAAAAAAAATTACATAATGATCTCAATATGAAATACATACAAATACTCATTTGATCATGTTGTTAAAATACATCAGTTTGGATTAGGGTAGTTTTAGGGGGTAGAATATACAGTTTGTACATACATTTTTTTTTCTATAGAAAGTCCATATAAAACATGGAAACCCAACACGCATGTGTGTGTGTGTGTGTGTGTGTGTGTGTGCGCACTTAATGTATTTGTAAACATTTTTAAGGAACAATGAATATAAATGCAATTAATATACAATAAAGGCTGGTTTAAAGCACTTAATTAATGTAATTCCGATTTTCTGTGACTAAAGTGAGAACTAGTTACTGTTAATAAATTGTTAGCTTAAAAAACAAACAAACATAAAAAGCATTATCTAATTTTTACATATGAGCAAATTAAACAGTAACATGGTCATTTATTGTGACAATGAATGAAGAACTCACTATTTGTAAATAGTGTGTTATTGTATTAACTACAGTTTATAAATTATTAATTAGCTATAAACTAATAGTTTGCAAATGATTTATAAGTGCTTTGTTACTGTATATTTATTATAAAGCATTACCGTTGTGTTGATTTTGCTGCAACTTTTCTGTCACGTCTGGTAAATTTCTTGTTTAAAGAAACATATGATAATAAATCAGACAAGACAGTGTGAACTTTATGACCATTACTTAGATTTTTCACTTAGATCTTCTATTTCCTGTGACAATATATTGTTTGTTTCACAAGTTGATATAATTCTAGAGTGAGATACTGTAGGTTCATTTGGTGTGCTGTCAATTATGGCGGGGCTCCAGACTACTGGAGTAAAGTAAAAAATATAAATATACGGATAATTTAATATTATAGGTGCTAAGAACTGAAGCAGGAGACTGTCACGTGTATGTTCCCGTTGAGTTCCTGTTTTCCTTATTTGGTCCTTCCAGTTCCTTTTCACAGTATTAGTATCACCTGTTCCTTGTTATTAGTTATCCCCATCACCTGTCTGCCCCTCGTTATCTACCGTATTTAGTTCTAGCCCGTTCAGTTCTCCCTGGTCTGGAATTGTATGTTGATGTCTTCTCCTCGTGCTACGTGTGATTCCCTGTGACAAGAATAAATCCCTTTGTTTAGTACTCCTGGTCTCCTCGTTCCTCGTTCCG